ACACACACACACACACAGACGCACCAGCAGCACTAGGCAGCACGAGCAGCCTCAGTGTCGGCCCCAGACCCCGGCCCCAGCACCACCACCACCACTACCGACGTCGCCAGCAGCAGCAGCACCACCACCANNCCACCACTACCACCACCACGACGACGCCGACGATAGTGGTCATCACATTCGGTCATTATGTTCCTCACTTTATTCAGTTTCATCCTTCACCACCAGCAGTTTCCTCAACATCACCGTCGTCACCTCACTCACCAGCACCGTCATGATGTGTGATAGCTCATGGCAGCGATAAGTTTATGAGTTTGGAGCTTGGGCCAGAGATGTTAACTTACGACTTCGTTTCGGAAAAGGTCCCTATGACCTAGCACAAGCCCCGAAATCCTGCACCCGAAACCGAGACGTGAAATCAAGGACTTTGATGACGAGGCACCTCTGACAAGCGGTGGTTGGAGGAACTTCTGCAGCTTGTTTCGCCGCCTGGCTCCCGACCTAAAGCAGAGCCTTTTTTGCCATTCCAGTTATCATCTGGGTCGTGTGCTCTGCTGCGAGCGCAGGCTCTTACCAAGTTCTCAACCTCCAAAGCTAAACCATGAAAATTCCCTGAAGAGCACAATCGGGAACCTCTGAATGTTATTTCAATAGACCGTGGTCACACCTTCGAGGGCCTTCGAAGGCTCTTTTTGGAGCTCCCTTCGTTAGAGCTTGGCAGCGCCAACTGCTGGCAATTAGCTTACAGCAGCTGGGCCAATGGGTTCAAATGGCGGGTCTCAAGCGCCCAGGACGCTCGGAGCCCACCGAGCAACGGCTGATCGAGCCAAGTTCACGCAGCAGATGTATTTGTCCCTCGGCCCGTGAGCATATGAAATTCTCGTCCTCGGGCCTACAACAATAAGGGGAAGCTCGGGACCTTGTAGTTTACAAGCTTGACGACATAATTCCCAAAAGTTCGACTATCCCGAAGACCAAGAAGAAACTCTGCGAACACCCTCAATCTCATAATGCTGACCACTCCCACAAGCAACTAACAGTCGAAAGATTTCGGTTTTGGTGAGGCTGGTTTCTGTGCACCACTCGCACTGCACAGCGTTACGAGCAGAACTTCCTTGTGCTTCGTGTACTATAGGAGCCGACAGGGCTCCTCTGTTACGTGGTCGGTTTTCTCGTCGTCCTCGTCGTAGTAGTCGT